ATGGATTCACCAGGACGAACCTTTTCGCCAAGGCGTATTGGATCACGACATCGACTCAATTCGCCATATATAAGACTGTTTCTTATCGCCAAAATGGTTCACATCATCGGTTCGATTCATCGCACCGAAACGGTTCGCCTCGCCATAACGGCTTTCTTCACCGAAACGATTCACCTCGTTGAACCAATTCACCTCGGCCGGAACATTTCACCTCACCGGTTCATCTGATCGTTCTAGATCTCTCCATCGGCTGAGATCATTTAAACGTTTCGGATTACCAAACTGATCCAGATCACAGTCACGATCCAGATCAAAATGCCGATCCAGATCACATCAACGTTCCGGCTTACCATTCTGAATCAGATCACTAAGCTGAACCGATTTACTAGCCCGACTCGTCCCGTTTCACCAGGCTGAACCGCTTCATATCGCCGAACCAGTTCACCTGGCCGTTCAAGATCACTGAATCGTCAGCATTCATCGAACTGTCAGCATTCGTCAATAATCCGTTCCTCGGACCTTGCCTACCAATTGAGTTGATTCACCGAATTCGGCGATTCACCACTCATGTTATTTCCAACACGGCGCATCTTACCAGCCTATTGGTTCTTCAGAGCCTATGCAAATTGTGTCTGGGATGCCTCCCAAGACACTTAACCCACATCGAACTTCGTCTTTGTTTTCATGGTTCGGGCTATGCCAGTTGCCTTTAAGGTGCAGGAATTGTTTTGGTTGATTTGACACACATAATTGCTTGGTTCACCGACCACCTACAGCTACCTAGAGGAAAATACCAGATGTTTTATTTATTACATTCAACATGAAGGATCTGGACTTGTCAACACTGGTTTTTAACATCCTCAACGAGGATCGTGAACTTGCATCTAGATAGGGCCAAATTTGTCGAACTCTGCTAGTTTTCAACACGATCCTAGTTTTCAGGGCATCTGTGCTGAATTCCTCACCACGGAGTGGCAAGCTCTAAGCACGACAAACTGATTTGTTTATCCGATTTACCTTACGGCTTGTGAGGCGTTTAAAGTTTTTAGTCACATAACTTATCCCACCTGGTACCCTTTTTCTGCTGGTTGAACAGAGGTAGTAGCTATGTGCTTCACCATGCCGAATCGATTCACATTTGATGTCAGTAGCGCAGTCATCTAGACATATTACGCTCGACACTTGACTGTCTGATGGTCCCAGTTCTCAAGATTCCTCCGTGACCCGGACTCATCTCATTCCAGATTTAATCTACCATCCGATCTTCACCTTTGATGAATGATTCGCTTCAAAGAATCTATCTTCCGCGTAGATATCAGCACTACGACCACCCGATAGGGCATTACTAGATAAGCTTGCTAGCCAGGAATACTTTACGACTCTTCACTGAGTCTTGTTACTACAGACTACTCGCTGGGTGCAATCATTGCAGATGGTTAGTCATCTTCAGCACCTTGCGTTTAACATCATCAGCAAGTTTCTGGACAGATGACACATGGGTCAAGTTTTTGTGCATGGTCTCGTCAAGTAGTCAGCATAGCGCAGCCCGGAATATATGGGTTGTGACTCGCCCGGTTAACCGAGGACTGTGTTGTCCGGATGTTTGTCGCATCGTGGGTAACGTTTGCAAATGGCGGACTACTGTTTGTTTACCGGAATTTTGATGATTAGAGTGACTATGAAGTGCCCTGGCAGACTTGTCTTGGTCCCACGAGTCGGATATCAAGTCCAGCCTTCAAAGGCTAGTAACAATGAACGGTACCATTCCCGGTAAGAATGATTGTATCGGGATTTTGTCAGCCAGTCGAGAGAGACTGCTTATCGAGGGTGACAGACAGAAACACCCATGAACGTTTTGACTTTGGCTGGGGTTACGCGGTTTTCTACACTAACTCAAGCACTGAGTTCAGAGGTCACTGCAGTTATTTTCCGGACTGTCACCAGGCAGCAATCTACTACCTTTATCACTCCACCTGGCGACCATCATTTTGTTCGGCCAACCAAAACGTTCCTGAGGTCGCCGATCGTACAAATTTCTTCACTTTGTTACAATGTGAACGTTCCTGTAGATTGACTGACAATCTCCATGCGCCGAACCTACTACATTCAGCACTCCATTAGTACTGGCATGGTAGCTGGACTAATTGAACGTTCCTATCTCAGGAGATATCTCTTTGTCAGAGGCAAGAGTTGCTAGACCTTTCATTTCCCTTGACCTGGGACCTCACATCCCGATACATCCAGACTATCGGAAATATCTTCGATTTACTTTCAAGGGGCGTCATTGATACCAATGGAGGGCACTGCTGTTTGGTATATGTACGGCCTCGTGGCTTTTTACTCAGGTACCCAATCCGATAACAAGCTACCTGCATTGTCGAGGCGTGACATTCGAGAAGTATATCGACAACTGTGTTCAAGCCCGGCAGGATCCAGTCGTCCTTCATCTCCACAGGCAATTCATCATCAAGTTGCTCTCACAATTAGGATGGCTGCTGAATTAGAAGAAATCAGAGGTAACGAACCAGTGACTACTTTTTATTGGGACAATTTTCAGCACGACAGGTCATGATGTTTGTGCCCCAAGAGTGGGACAAGATTCAGTGCAACGTACCACTAGTGCTGGTGCAACCCACAACTTTTACTAAGGTGGTTGACGTCGGCACAAGCGCTGACTTACAGGGGCCAGCTGCAGCTTTGCCCTCTTCAGATGTTTCTGTGCCTATACATCCAGGATGACAACCCAAGGGAGTTGATTCGTCTTCCCGCACAACTACATTCAGTCTTTCGTTGGTGGCTCAACAAGTGGTATGTTTGCGTTGGAGTCTCTATGGTGCCCTTTATACCGACTCAACACCTCATTCAATGAATTGGCAGCACTCTCTCAAGCTGGGGCAGCTCACTTTCTCCATCAATTTCTCCATCAAGTGGCCTAGCAGTGGTCATCAGGAGAAAGGGCCCTTCAACACAGTGGCCAGAGCCTAACACATTTCCGGGATGAGCAATGTCATTGCCGATGCCCTGTCACGTCCCAAACACCCGTCACTCACGGAGTGGAAACAACTGCCTCTGATATTCCAATCAAAGATCTACCTGTTATCACGACCAGATGTAGACCTGTTCGCCACTCGGTACAACCATCAGCTTCAGCACAGATGATCACCAGTTGCGATTGTTGCTGCTTTGTGTACAATCTGAATAAAATTCTGAATTTTATTTCTGATTTGTGTCTTCGATTCTTCTGGGCCCTCGATTTCTCCTCTCAATTTAATTTGAGACTCTGGAGAGTCGCCACCTCACTTACTGTCGTCTGCTCTGTGGAGTAACTACATCAGTGAAGTGAGTCATTCCCGAAGTGTTACACTTCGTAGCGTTCATGCTCCTAAGTACCTATACACATCTATGTGATCTTACTGTGGTAAGTAGTGGAAGTCATAAGATGATGTTGTGGTACTGAACGTTAAAATTGTGAGTTTTCCGATTCAGTTACCCTTTCACCCTCCTCAGGACGGTGTCTGTGGGGGTTGTTTCAAAGCAGGGGCTGGCCCGATACTAGTCTTTAGACATTTATTACGGGGGTACCTTGGAAATGTGACTGATTACACTCGCTAAGCTGCGTCCTTTCACTTTCGTGAAGGTAGTGACTGAACACCACATTGCTCAGGAGTCCCGGTCCCTGGGAGCAATTGTGCTTAGTAAGTCAATGGGTTCGAACTAACCATCACACGTAGTGACCTTGGTAGTTATGGGCCTACCTTGTTGTTGCTCCCTACAGATGTAGAAGTGTTCGACAATCTCGCTTGCTGACCTCTACTCCACGGAGCAATCATGTCAGTGTAGTGAGTCCTTCCCGATTTCCTTATGGATTTCGTAGCGTTCAAGCTCCTAAGTACCTTAGCACACCGTTGTGACCTAACTGTGCTAAGTAGTGGAAGTCATGTGGTGTTGTTTTGGTACTGAACGTTAAACTTGTGTGTTTTTCCGATTCAGTTTCCTTTTCCCCTCTTCGCGATGGGGTCTGGGGGGCTGTCTCGAAGCAGGTGTGGGCCCGATTACTAGTCGTAATTACGGGGGTACTATGATAAATCGTGGCGAAGCAAGGTGACTTGCCTAGTTGCGTTTTCTTGCGTGTGCGAGGGTTGCTGCTGAACACCACATTGCTCAGGAGCACCCACTCCATGGGAGCGATGGTGCCTAGTAAGCCAAGGGGTTCAGGAGAACCCATCACTAGTATAGGTACTATGCTAGTCGGATCCTGCAGCCAAAAACCACATCGCTCAGGAGCACCCACTCTTGGGAGAGATGATGCCTAGTAAGCCAAGGGGTTCAGGAGAACCCATCACTAGTATAGGTACTATGCTAGTCAGATCCGGCCTCCCTTGTTCATTGCTATCTACGGTTGTCATTAGCCTATACAGTATATACTGTCAGTGCCTGTCATGTTATAAAATATATTTTGCGTTTCAATGGCAACAAGTTTGACTTAGACTGAAATTGGTGGTAGTACTCTTTTCCGGAGCAGAACTCTAAAACTGTTCAATGTTTCTTCACCAAACTTGGCACATAGATAGGTCTGGTGGTGAACTGGTGCCTTTTGGTAGTTTTGGATTTCTGAATAAAATATTTTTTGCGTTTTAATGGCAACAAGTTTGACTGAAATTGGTGGTAGTACTCTTTTCCGGAGCAGAACTCTAAAACTGTTCACTATTTCTTCACCAAATTTCATACATAGGTAGGTCTAGTGGTGAACTGGTGCCTTTTGGTAGTTTTGGATTTCTGAATAGAATAATTTTTTTGCATTTCCATGGCAACAATTTTGGCTTCAACTAAATTTGGTGGTAGTGCCCCTTTCTGGAGCAGAACTTTGAAACCTATCAGTACTCTCCTTCCACTTAGTTATATACATGCCAAAACATTTGACATAGTAACTCGTAGACATATTCATGAAGAGTATTTTGCCATTGCGGGGGATATTGATGACTTTGTCTTCTTGTTGGCAGGTTGTGAGGACATCATCGTGGACAGCCTGTCATTAGACAACCTGACGGCGGTATTGAACTGGAGCTCTGAGCCCCATGGGTCGCGCTGGGTCCACCGACAAGCCATGAACTTCCTAACAGAGGAGTTCCTGCAGCTGGCCCACTCACCTGGCCTGGTGGACCTCAACAAGGAGTACCTCCTGGAGGCCCTGCGCTCCGACTTCCTGCAGGTAATGAAGTGTACAGCTTTCCACACAACTACTCATACAAGGCTTATTTAGAGTTGGGAATCTGGGTTAGAAATGTCCATGAGCATCCTTTGTCACAAGGATATTTTATAGATCAGTGGTCAGACTTGGCTACTGTTGGCTATTGTTGTTCATATCTGTGGATTGTCTGTTTTGGTATAAAGCTGGAATATAGCTGGGGTATTTTTGAATGTTCAGTTACATATATGGATGCCTGTACTGTAGACTTTTGCATGTCAGTGAAAATGCTAATCAAGTTTATAGTTTGGATATGCATTTCTTCATATTGTTCACTAGGAGTGAGGGTATTCTTGAACAGGCATGCCATCAAACTGACTTGATATGGCCAAACTGTTAAGTTCAGGATCAAGGTTAAGAGGTCCAAATTATGAGAAACAGTGCTTCTGTATTTATTCATACAGGGGAATTCCCAGTTAGTGGAAGTAGTCTCATCAGTGTTTACGTCATTTTAGGAACAGTCTCATGGAAAATGTGTGAGGTCAAAATGTCTTATTCAGACACTTATGAACATCACTTTTACAGTCATGTGACCAACCTCTCATCCAATAAGCTGTATTTCTTGCAAAGTTCACATTAATAACTTCGCGCTTAATAAAAGTGAGTTTACATGAACATGAAACTGCAGACCTTACTACCACCTCCTGAGGCCTGTCTGTCTGTGAGGTACAGGAGACTGGACACTGTGCTGGGATGGAATATGGTGTACACCTGATTGTAATGCTTGTTTTGGTGCCTGTAGGTTGGGGAGCTGGATGTCCTGACGTCAGTGTTGAAGTGGGGGGAACATCAGCTGGTTCGGCGAATCGAGGAAAGAGGTAGGTGGATTTTTTACGCATTTACAGATATTTCAGAAATCATGGAAATGCTTTTTTTAAAGAATGCTGTTTAATGATTTTGCACACAAAGACCAGTTAGATAAAATAAGCCACAGTTTCTCATATTTTCAAGTTTTAGGAGAACTATTTTTAATGACCAAGCATTCATGGAACATGGGAAACACAAGAAGCAGATGCAAGTCAGATAGCACATCACACATCAAGTACATATCAAGTACATTTGTGTGCAAACTCAATGGACGCTTCAGTAGTTCTTGAATTACCAAAATATTGATGTTCTGTCTGAGGACAGGTAGTATAACCAGGAAACTCCGGAAACAGTTCTAACAGTTCAAAATAAACTTGAAGCTTCCTGTGTTTTAATCCATAACTGTTGACAGTTCGTTTACAGTGAAGTTTGTTATGTACCATGAATTGTTGTAGAGTGTATGTGGTAAAAACTGAAATAATAAAGAAATAACCTTGGTAAGTTCTAATACCTGAAGACAATGCATTTATGAATACTTTAAACAATGCTACATAACATGAATCGTTATATTAGCTGAAATACCTTGAATACATGAACAGTGAGATGAGCAGACGACAATCCGCCATCTTGTGACTACCGTAGATGAACCTTACAATATTTAGATTAGGTAAATTACATACCTAATACTACGGTATATTGAGAAAATATACTTCAACGTGTTAATGATGATGTTCTAAAACATTATTTGATTACTTACATCATGGTGGAGCCATTAATGCAAAAGGAAAAACATTGATTAGACCTTACATATTGGAAGCGGTAGCAACGCTTTTTGCTTTACAATGTACTAAGGGAGATAACTCAGCGGTAAAATTAATGAACACCCACAAAAGAGAGGGAAAGGGAAACAACTCTTACTTGACTAGAGCCCTTGTTGAAGTACTTCAACATTATTTTCAATTGATGTAACAAAACGATTGATATTAATTTGTCCAAGTTCTTCAGAATGATTCACAGTCCTTTTGATAAAAACATAGTATGTTTATTCAATCCAAGTGTGTTACCAGACATGTATATAATATCTATATATAAATAATGGAGTGAAATCCAAACTGCAGACCTGGTGTTGCAAGTATGGAATTTTCGAATGTAAAAAGCGACATTCTACCATGAATCAAGAAAATACTAGATTCTGATTGGTTGTTCAGAAAAATCAGACGGCATCAATTGTGGATTGACGCTCATCTGATTGTAAGGCCGCTTCACCGCGCATTGACAAATCTTATTGTGAGAACTACTTCCGTTTGACCACAATGATGGCGGATCATAACAACAACTCCATGGATTTTGACGCTGACTTTCGAATATTCCACATAGGCAATTGGAAATTTTTGGATTAAAAATGCGTTTGATTTCATTGCGCTTCACTGCCGCACTACTTCAGCTTGACCACCAACATGACTAATATTAACACAACAGGCATGATGGAAATGCTGATAAAACATTTATTTAAACTCGAAAAATACAATTATATGATTTCCCCCCCACAATTACGAGGGAACCTCACTATCATATTACCTTCTATTATAAAAATATTCAAACTCAGTTACAATACACAGCCCCAAACATAAACAAAACAATATCTAACATATAAATCAGAAAGCCTTGTAGAAATTGATCTACATCCCTATCTATACAAAATATGCAGCAAAACATTAGTAAACATTTACCTACCTGGTAAATGGTATATTTAATTCCTTTTAGAATGGGAAATTTGCAAGATAGATCTAACGGTCTGGCAAAACACCACATTTATGCCACTCATAGTCATACTCCATCATATCCCGTTGCATCGTTCACAAAATAATTCTGCGCTCTGCCAGCTTCCCCGCAAGGTTGTCACTGTTATGTTCATCTACTTTGAAAACGCTTGGACACAGTCCAGTCCCAAACGATGAAAACAAAGTTCCAAGGAATCACAAGTTAGTCGCATGTACACTAAGCAGCAGCACTGTCACCCTTTTGTCGCATGCCGGGATGGAGGCAGTACGTGAAATCATGATAGGCCGGTCATAAAAATCAACAGTCTTTGATGAGTTACAGGTCGTAGGTTGATCAGGAAAGGATCTATTCTTCGATTCTGCAGGGTTCAGATTCGACAGTCAGTCAAGTATTGTCCACTGTCACTTCAAATTTCAACCTTTCGCAAAATGTAAACACTGGCTCGACCGCCATTTCAAACTGTTGCGTAACTGTCTACTTCGAAGAAAATAAGTAGGTCAGACGATTCCATTATAGTGTGGTCAGAGGGGTACAGTTTAACGGCACACAAAACAATAGGCTGGTTTTAGTCGTGTGGAGTTGGGATAAAAAAAACCCCCAAGATCTCGGGTATTACATAATTGCATTGAATAAACAGTAGTTTGATTTCTTTGGACAGAATATTGTTATGTTGTAATGTTAAAAAAATACTGACGGCACCTACCGCTCCCTTCACAGACGAGTTCAATTAGCCTCTCGACCCATGCCGGATTACGCAGTGTCTTCCGCCAGAGCGAGGAAGTTCGATTTTAAATGGTTCATGGTAGAATGGAGATAACCTTAGTGTGTTTGAAAATCAGAGACATGCTTTACTGAATTGATGGCGACTAAATATATCAATTGAAACCTCACGCTACGCGTTCGGTTCCAATTGAAATTTAGTCGCCATCAATTCAGTAAAGCATGTCTCTGATTTTCAAACACACTAAGGTTATCTCCTAATTCTATTGTCCCTGAATAATTGTTATGAGTGTTAACTCATGGCCATGGTTTACTGAATGATGTTAACCCCAATCTTTCATGAATAATCTCCCAATGTGTGAAGCCCATTTCTGGTGTGGTCCGCCATGATATTGCTGGAATATTGCTAAAAGCAGAGTCAAACTCACTCAATCACTCATAAATAATCTCCAATATTTGTTCCTTTTTCAGAACCCAATCTCCTGAGTCACACAGCGCACAGTGTCACAAAGAAGGGTGTCAAGAAACGGGATCTAAATGATGTCGAGTTGAGAGACATTTTGGCAGAAATGCTGCCATTGGTCCGAATGGATCATGTGATACCTTATAACAATGACACTTTGAACAATGCTATCAAGCGTGGCCTTGTGAGCACCCCTCCTTCCCACATGATCGGTGATGAGTCGACAGGGCAGAGAATGTGTGCCTGGGTGCGTGGCAAGAACAACGGAGTGTTTGTCCGACCACGGTTATTTACTCCATACTACGAGGAGGCCAAGGTGAGTGCCAGCATGGGTCAGTGGTTCTACTGTGTGTAGGACCATCTCATTACAACTGCGAACCCTTGAAGATCCAGGTTAGAATTGGCCTTCAGTAACCCATGCTTGTCGTAAGAGGCGGCTAACGGGATCAGGTGGTTGATCCTATCCTAACCCAATTGCGTAGGTCGATGCTCATGCTGTTGATCACTTGATTGTCTGATCCAGACACAATTTCTTACAGACTGCAGCCATATAGCTGGAATATTGCTGAGTGCGGCATTAAAAAACAAACAAAAAACAAACATCACACCTGTCAGTTATTAAATTGTCATAAACTGTGTTCATTATCACTTTGTAATATTCACCTCAAGTCTGAAGCAACTGTTGTGTGGATATTTAAGGCTCACAAACAATAGACTATGTAAGAACAATTTAATATCAAAATGATATATGTGCAAGTCGACTCAAAAGTGTCTATCACTGACTGCATTGGAAGGATGGGTTTGGCTTGGAGGATGGATTAGAGAGAGGTAATGCTTGTGGAGTCAAATACTTGTGAATTTTGACAAACAAGTCATTCTGTTTTCATTTCTAATGGTACAATAAAACAATTGTTACTTGTGCTAGTAGTGGTTTCCCTGTGTATTGGTTGTGACACAGTCATCCTTGTTGCAGTCCATCCTTGAGGAGCAGCTGTCTCAGGCCCACGAGCAGGATGCAGGCCGGGTGCGGATGCTCAACATTTCATCCATCCCAGACACACTTTACATGGTAGAGGACAGACACTATGCCATGCCCTATGCCCTGGCCCCAGCTTCTACTGTCGATATCATAGCAGGGACTATACCAGGTTAGTGCCATGTATGCTCTGGCCCCAGCTTCTACTGTCGATATCATAGCAGGGACTATAGCAGGTTTGTGCCATGTATGCTCTGGCCCCAGCTTCTACTGTCGATATCATAGCAGGGACTATACCAGGTTAGTGCCATGTATGCTCTGGCCCCAGCTTCTACTGTCGATATCATAGCAGGGACTATACCAGGTTAGTGCCATGTATGCTCTGGCCCCAGCTTCTACTGTCGATATCATAGCAGGGACTATACCAGGTTAGTGCCATGTATGCTCTGGCCCCAGCTTCTACTGTCAATATCATAGCAGGGACTATACCAGGTTAGTGCCATGTATGCTCTGGCCCCAGCTTCTACTGTCGATATCATAGCAGGGACTATACCAGGTTAGTGCCATGTATGCCCCCAGTTTCTACTGTCGATATCATAGCAGGGACTATTCCATGTATGCTCTGGCCCCAGCTTCTACTGTCGATATCATAGCAGGGACTATACCAGGTTAGTGCCATGTATGCTCTGGCCCCAGTTTCTACTGTTGATATCATAGCAGGGACTATTCCATGTATGCTCTGGCCCCAGCTTCTACTGTCGATATCATAGCAGGGACTATACCAGGTTAGTGCCATGTATGCCGCCAGTTTCTACTGTCGATATCATAGCAGGGACTATTCCATGTATGCTCTGGCCCCAGCTTCTACTGTCGATATCATAGCAGGGACTATACCAGGTTAGTGCCATGTATGCTCTGGCCCCAGCTTCTACTGTCGATATCATAGCAGGGACTATACCAGGTTAGTGCCATGTATGCTCTGGCCCCAGCTTCTACTGTCGATATCATAGCAGGGACTATACCAGGTTAGTGCCATGTATGCTCTCTTCTTTCACTGTCGATATCATAGCAGGGACTATTCCATGTATGCTCTGGCCCCAGCTTCTACTGTCGATATCATAGCAGGGACTATACCAGGTTAGTGCCATGTATGCTCTGGCCCCAGTTTCTACTGTTGATATCATAGCAGGGACTATTCCATGTATGCTCTGGCCCCAGCTTCTACTGTCGATATCATAGCAGGGACTATACCAGGTTAGTGCCATGTATGCCAGTTTCTACTGTCGATATCATAGCAGGGACTATTCCATGTGCCATGTATGCTCTGGCCCCAGCTTCTACTGTCGATATCATAGCAGGGACTATACCAGGTTAGTGCCATGTATGCTCTGGCCCCAGCTTCTACTGTCGATATCATAGCAGGGACTATACCAGGTTAGTGCCATGTATGCTCTGGCCCCAGCTTCTACTGTCAATATCATAGCAGGGACTATACCAGGTTAGTGCCATGTATGCCGCCAGTTTCTACTGTCGATATCATAGCAGGGACTATTCCATGTATGCTCTGGCCCCAGCTTCTACTGTCGATATCATAGCAGGGACTATACCAGGTTAGTGCCATGTATGCTCTGGCCCCAGTTTCTACTGTCGATATCATAGCAGGGACTATTCCATGTATGCTCTGGCCCCAGCTTCTACTGTCGATATCATAGCAGGGATTATACCAGGTTAGTGCCATGTATGCTCTGGCCCCAGCTTCTACTGTCGATATCATAGCAGGGACTATACCAGGTTAGTGCCATGTATGCTCTGGCCCCAGCTTCTACTGTCGATATCATAGCAGGGACTATACCAGGTTAGTGCCATGTATGCTCTGGCCCCAGCTTCTACTGTCGATATCATAGCAGGGACTATACCAGGTTAGTGCCATGTATGCTCTGCCAGTTTCTACTGTCGATATCATAGCAGGGACTATTCCATGTATGCTCTGGCCCCAGCTTCTACTGTCGATATCATAGCAGGGACTATTCCATGTATGCTCTGGCCCCAGTTTCTACTGTTGATATCATAGCAGGGACTATACCAGGTTAGTGCCATGTATGCTCTGGCCCCAGTTTCTACTGTTGATATCATAGCAGGGACAGGGACTATACCAGGTTTGTGCCATGTATGCTCTGGCCCCAGCTTCTACTGTCGATATCATAGCAGGGACTATACCAGGTTAGTGCCATGTATGCTCTGGCCCCAGCTTCTACTGTCGATATCATAGCAGGGACTATACCAGGTTAGTGCCATGTATGCCGCCAGTTTCTACTGTCGATATCATAGCAGGGACTATTCCATGTATGCTCTGGCCCCAGCTTCTACTGTCGATATCATAGCAGGGACTATTCCATGTATGCTCTGGCCCCAGTTTCTACTGTTGATATCATAGCAGGGACTATACCAGGTTAGTGCCATGTATGCTCTGGCCCCAGTTTCTACTGTTGATATCATAGCAGGGACAGGGACTATACCAGGTTAGTGCCATGTATGCTCTGGCCCCAGCTTCTACTGTCGATATCATAGCAGGGACTATACCAGGTTAGTGCCATGTATGCTCTGGCCCCAGCTTCTACTGTCGATATCATAGCAGGGACTATACCAGGTTAGTGCCATGTATGCCGCCAGTTTCTACTGTCGATATCATAGCAGGGACTATTCCATGTATGCTCTGGCCCCAGCTTCTACTGTCGATATCATAGCAGGGACTATTCCATGTATGCTCTGGCCCCAGTTTCTACTGTTGATATCATAGCAGGGACTATACCAGGTTAGTGCAATGTATGCTCTGGCCCCAGTTTCTACTGTTGATATCATAGCAGGGACAGGGACTATACCAGGTTAGTGCCATGTATGTCTGCTTCTGTTACATTCTTTTACATGAAACATTTTTGCTACTTGTGCAGTGCCTGACCGAAATACATACGTGACGATGCTTCAACGAGAGGCAGAGCTACAGAGATCAAAAGTTGCTCAACGTGCATACTCCCTGCCCTGTTCCGACAAGCGGGCAGTGAGCTTCCAGATACAGCTTCGGTTGTTGCGTGAGTTTGGCATGCCGGACAGCACAACGGAAGTGATGACCAACAGCCAATACTACTACACAGAGGACAACACCCACTATGCTGAGAGGCGGTACATCGCGTCCCCCACACGGCAGAAGCACAGTCCAGCAGTCTCACTGTCTCCCCCTGGATCATACAGCCCTGTAGAGGTAGGGGAGGCAACCCCACTTAGTCATAGTAATTTTGCTTGTGAAATGATAATGGTATGTTCCTTATCAAGTTTTAAGAGAGATTAATGAAACATAAATCAGATTTAGTTTGATAATACATGATAATGTAAATTTTGACGCCAATGGATGGTAGCAATCATATTTGCTAAACATTTTCCATAGTCATACTGATAAGATACTGTGTTGATGTTATCGGCTTCGGTGAAACCTGATGAAAAGTCTGCATTGTTCATTGTTGTTTCGAGGCAATGGGGTAGCCTAATGGTTAAAGCGTCCGCTCGTCATGCTGAAGAAACGGCTTCAATTCCCCACATGGTAACAATGTGTTAGGCCCATTTCTGGTCTCCCCTGCGTGATATTACTGGAATATTGCTAATAGCAGGAAAAAAATAAACTCACTCACTCCTCCTGTGATCATTACTGTTATATACTTAGTTCTTTTCTTCTTCTTGTTCAGAATGAAGCCAGCAGTGACAGTGTTCTCAGTGACATGATGCCAGACATTGCCATGGCAACTTCCTCCATGAGTCAAATGCACATGCATGAAGACTTTGAACTAGACATTGGTGATGGAAGCAGTCGGCATGGGACTCTGTACATCTGACAGAGTTGCTTCCCTTTCTGTAGGTGGTGGCCAACACCTTAGACACAGACTGACAGATCAACCAGAAGGGGAGAGCCCACATGAAAGCATGATCTGCTAGGAATGTCAACTTCATACAAACTACAAGGCACTGATTGGATTAATCACAAACCATGAGATCACTGTGATCACTCTGTTATTGTGTGAAATGGGATGGAATTTCTGAAGACTACAGTATCTTGCTAAGGAAAGGACAACTAGATGTGAATATAATGGCCAAAGGATGCATTACCAATGTATGTGAAGGCTCAAGCATAGGTGTGTCCAATATTTCATGACTGATTTATGTGATCACAAAGGGTTCTGTTTGGGACTTTCTCATAGGTTTACATGCCATTTCCAAATGTGATTGTTTGATGTGTGTCAACGTCATCTACAGACCCTTCAAGTGGACTATCAGAAACTTTAGAAAGCTACCTTGATTTAGGTGTATTGAAGTAATTCAACATTGCTTTGGCAATATCTGCCATCTAACGGGGATTTTCAAGAAGTAAGGAGAAAGGTAGATTTGAATCAGATGGACCATAATAGAAGCATGAGCTCTTAGAAAATTACAAGGAATAAGCTAATGAATATATGTTAAATCTTATAGATATATAATAGATTTTAAAGGGATAATCTGAAATAAGAATCATTGTTTAAGTGGACATACATTTAAAATCTAAAGTATTTAGACTAAGTGCTAATTTTGTCTGTATGAGTAAGATAAGGACGGACATCAGACATGTATCACATGTGGAAATGATGTGTAACCTGTTAACACAGCCCTTTTTTGAGTGGCATTTAGAAGCTGGTATGATGAACAGGAATGATTTTTATGGATAGACACCTTCTTTATTGCAATGGGTGGCGGTGGGGTAGCCTAGTGGTTAAAGCGTTGGCTCGTCATTCGATTCCCCACATGGGCACAATGTGTTAAGCCCATTTCTGGTGTCCCCCGCCGTGATATTGCTGGAATATTGCTAAAAGCGGCGTAAAACTAAACTCAGTCAGTCAGTCTTTATTGCAATGGATGCAACATTTCGGTGTAGATGCTAAACAAGTTATCAAGCAAGTGATGACTCCTACAATACTCGGCTTGATAGCATAGTTAGCATCTACACCTAAACGTTTCATCCATTGTAATAAAGAAGTTGCCTATCTGTAAAAAAAATGATCCTGTTCAACACAACCCTTTATGAATGCTTTCATCCGACACCATTTGATTGCTTCGTGCATTTGACTAAGGTGTGGACACCATCGCACATTGGAATCTGGCATATGTTTTAATTGGACATTTAAAATGGCTTGTATGTTTTCATACAGAAATCCTTATTTGTTATTTATTTTATATTACATATTTCCAAGAAATGGAAAGCATATTCAGTGTTGAAAAAAAATGTGTTTCTTAAGTTACACGGATACCTTGATGGTTTTCTTTTGTTTTGATAATTTATGTTGTTGAGGGATTTCTGCAGGAGAGCTTTATATTTTCATTTGTACATTGTGAATTGTGTATGACTGTACAGCGATCAATTGTACATACAACACCACCCACCGAATGCTATGTTTCACATGTAGGATCTTTCTGTCCTCAAGGCCTTTCGAAGTGCAATTGTATATGATGGAATATTTCTGTTTCTCAATGCAATAGGACACCTGATTGGATGTAATTATTTCTGAACAAACCAAGCGGCAGCAATACAGAGTTGTCAACTGTTCGAGTAGTGGGTGATACCACGTAACCTTGCAAATATTGCCAACTTACCGCCTTCACTGTCAGACTGTTTCCTCGAAGATTTCATGTACACAACCGGAGTTGAATATTTTTTAATTTGATCAGTTTTACCACAGTTGCACCAATTTGAAGGATTTGAAATCCAAGTTTAGGTGATCATGATGAAGAGTGTCATGCCAATGATACGGAGAGTCAGCATTTCTCATACCTGGTGCCTTTTTTTAATAACAACCACATGTGCAAACTGATACTTAGGGTCTGTGACTTTTGTGAGAATTTACAAGATTATATTTGATGGTGTATATGGCAAATAAGTAGAGCTTCTGTAACCATAGAGACTTCAATGTACTGTCAGCTAGAAATCCGCTTTCATGTGTAGATGCTGGGTCTTGTATGAGTCGTAATGAAGATGTCTGGTGTCAATGGAATCAGATCTGGACAAAAGTCAATGAGCTGCAGGGAATTATGGGTTTCGGAGGAGGCAGTGGGGTAGCCTAGTGGTTAAAGTGTTCACTTCTTATGCCAATGATGCAGGTTCAATTCTTCACGTGGGTACAGTGTGTGAAGACCATTTCTGGTGTCCCCTACTTTAATTTGCAAGAATAAGGAATATAAAAAAGCTGTGTAAAACCACTTGCTGGCATCACCAACAAGGACATCAGCACATGGTGTTTAGATGAATGCAGGAGTATGACAATATATTCTTCAACTTAATGCGCAGCATTGAAAATTGCTAAAATGAACACCTTGTGAAATTGATGTAGCTGATATCTGTTGCTTTGATCAACCTTTGATCTGCATGTTTCAGACATGCTGTCTACCTTTTCACATAAGTTTCTTCAAGAAATCAAGACTGGATCTTGAAGCAGACCCTTCATATTGATGCATTTCTCTTGCGATGAATGAAAAATCATGTAATGTCAAAGATTTTAGCGTTAAAATATTATTAGATACTTCATTTTTATAGACAGAAGTTCTTTATTTGATGTTGTTAAATGCTATTTGTAGTATTTTTAAGAAGTATGCTCCTGGCATTCAAGTCAAAGGTTGATCTTAAGCTTTTACTCTTATGAAGGAGCTTGTAAGTGCTGAAGAAAACCTTAAAAACTTACCTGAACCCGAAGGGACTTGTAATCAAATCTATGTTTGGTAATTTAGATATCTAAAAATATTCCATTCTTTGAGTAAATATTTCAGTTTAATAGCCCAATTAATTTTGTCTTTTTGGAAGCATTTCTTAGAAGATAGAATAACTTTTGTATCCACATTCAAAAAAGATAACAAATACCAAAGAATACGACCTTAGTATTTGGTCTCCTGTTCTAAATCAGTCTGACAACCACTGTACCTTCTGACACTTACCCATACATTTTGGGCATATAGTTAGTTGACAATCTGTATTCCTTATATTCATAGTGTGATAGTAGTAATGTGACTGGCAGGACATTGTTGCTGATAACAGGCCTATGTGTTGATATGTAAATGTGTGTGTGATATCATCCATGGATGGAAGATCCTAAGATGGTAACAATACCTAGTATTGATATGATGTAATTATATTCCTCCATATTTATCCATTTGAAGATATGATGCCTGTACTTTGTGAGTTGATGTATTTACAGTGTTTAACACTCTGTCATTGTTAGCTGCTGCTGCTGCTGCTGCTGTTGTTGCTGTGTTGATTGGCTGTAGGTGATCAGGGTGTAGGCTTCAACAACCAATACTTTCACTGTCTTTACTTTACACCATGCACATCGCCTCTGTCTCTTACTATCATGTAAACCACAAGCTGCATCAACCACTTCACCTGCATCAACCACTTCACCTGCATCAACCACTTCACCTGCACCACAACCACATACTAGGTGCTCTTGAGTCTTCAATTAGAATTTAGGACTGGTGGCCCATAGTACAAATACCATTGATACCTGATAGGGGGTGATCTTTTAGGAGGTTGCTGTACTGTGTAGTGAAGACAGTATTGATAACAAGGGGTTAAGTTTGTCTATTGAAAGCTTTGCACAAAAAATATTGGCATGTTTTTGTGTGAAAAGGAGATCTGGTTTTATTCAAGTGAATACATTTGATTATGTTAAATGTTTTGTATCATGATTAAGGTACTGTGTACTGGAACCACCAAAGCCCTACAATGAACTTCAGAATGACATGTTCAACCTTGTAATGATCCTTGCTCCTTCGGTATCACACAATGGGTTTTCCCTAAGTGTAACTTTGTATGGTCAATATAACTTACCTGTCAGCTTACCTGTCCAAATAAGCCCTAACCATTTTGTTATGAACTGAAATAGTGTAAATTGATGTCCAACCTGAAATGGCCTTCTCACTCTGATGTTTAGTATCCTGATTGTTACTGATGTCATATCTGCCTAATGTTTCAACTTTGGAGATTATTGGAGCACTTTCAACACGTGTAATTAAAACGTACAATACTTAACATGCACTTTTCATGATTTGGTCATTACCGAGTTAACACATGCATCACATCACTGATCACACCCTCTATCTCCATGGTTACACGATGATGAAGACAGGACTGCACCAACATCCAGGGCCCCGTTCCTCAAAACGATAGTAGCACTACAACTGTCGTAAGTCTATGTTTAAACATGGGAGTTACGATCACCTTATCTCTACGATCTCTTTGTGAAAGGGGGCCCTGCACCTTCATCACCACCTGTACATATGTTGAGCCTATACCCTGATCCAGTTCCCACTGAGAGGATGGATGTATCAGGCTGCTGCAGTGTAAATAGTACTCCTTGTGTGCAGCAGTCCAACTGTGTGGGGTGGGGCCCAGCTGATCACAAGACCACAGACCAGCTGCCAAAATGCATTATTAGATACATCTGACCAAAGGTAGTTAGATCTCAATGTCAATTGAATGTAGTTCAAGTGTAGTTGTTACTGGCTGTATTAACCAGGCCCTTCCACCTAGAAGTCTTTGTGCTAGACAAGCATTCTATCCTTTGACAGGTGCAGAATTAGAATGTTTTGGTCAAGTTCTTGTGTATCAGTCTGGGTCAATATCTGTATGTAGAAAGAGTTTTTGATGGTTGTATAACTGTCATATCCACATACCCTCAACATGAACAAATTGTACATAGCTATTCACCAGGGGGCAGTATGGATATTAACACAAGGCTACTAATCAGGGCATATGAAGATCTGAATCTTGTCATGGGGAAAGACAATTCCCTGTCTGGGGAAAACTTTAATGCTATGTTGAATTTAATGTTAATTTGACAGTATGACTGTATTTTTTGTCTTAAAACCAATAGAGTTTGTTATTACCCATTACTTAATGTTATTAACTTTCTGTTCAATTCGGTTTTTGTAGAGGTTTATGTTCAGAATTGCTTTGGTGCTTTGTTATTGTAAGGGAGTTCTTGTACCATCTATCAATACACCTTCCATTTGTAAGTAACCCTTTCTCCTCAAACCCACTTGGCATATCAATATCATAATAAATATGTCTCTAGGTCCACTTCTAGCACTATTTCAGTTTTGTTGATTTTACATATTTTGTTCTGAACTCTTCATCTTAAACCTTGCAAAAATTTCTTTGTAATTCCTAGGACATATATCAGACTCTTGTTCATAATGGCATAAAAATGTCATGTTTGAAACCATATTAATATTGTTACAAGACCTACCACTTTCAAACATTAAAGCACTGATTGGTAAAGAAAAAGTGTCTCTCAAGATAGATTACTATATCTGAAATTTGTACACCATGCTTGAAAGCAGGATATATTCATTCCAGGGTAAAGTTTTCCACTGAAGGTGAACTTCTGTACCAATGGTCCAATGGTTTCAAAGTAGAATATCAAAGTAGAATTGCAGCTATGGTGTATTGTTTTAAAGGGTTGGTGTTGAGCAAGTCCTATCATGTATGAGCATAGTTCCGGTGTATAACTCCTATATTGCCCCCTGCCCTTGTGATTATGTAGTGAGGACACAATCTCTATTATATAATGATTTATGTGTGGTAAGGCTGTGTGTGTATGTGATAGGTGGTGTGTGCAAGCCCAATAGACGATATCAGAGAGCAGATTAGGTTACCTGTTTCAAGCCTGCAATGTTGGCTTGTGCTTTCAGAGCA